TGCACCAGCAAAGATTTAGGGACCGCAGTATTTTGAACTCGCTGAAGGAGGAGAGCACCTCTCTTGCTGAAGGATGAGCGGAGGGTCTGGCAGTCGCCACTGTGTACGTTTTTCAGTGCGTTGCGTCTTGATTCGCCCACCGTTCCTCTTTGTTCATCGATGGACTTCGTTGGATCCTCTTCTGTGGCTAGGGGTGGAAGGTCAGGGGTGTCTGTCGGGGCTGGGATTGGTTTTCCACTGCTCCTCCCAAAGGCGCTGCATTTCTTTGTTCATCGATGGACTTCATTGGATTCTCTTCTGTGGCTAGGGGTGAACAGCTCAGGGGTGTCCGTCGGGGCTGGGATTGGTTTTCTACTGCTCCTCCCAAAGGCGCTGCATTCTGCCTGAAGCAGCTCTCCGGAATGGTGAGTTGTTTCATGGCTCTGAAGTCCCAAATGCAGGGAACTGGGGAAAGCACAAGCGGTGCGAGTTCTCAAACGGCCTCCGCGTCCAGTGTATCCATCCACCAGAGAACAGCGGGTACTTCAGTGGAATCACAAATGAAGGATTTTCAGCATGGCCTAACATTCCAGAAACACAGGTTCTGCTTCAGAGGGAGAGAGCCAACACCTCACATGCAGAAGCAGCACTGCCTTTTGCTTGCAAACACAGCGCTGTCTGACTGGTGCCAGAGAAACCCGCCCTGTTGGCCCCAAACAGCCGCGGGTATCGATACTTCGCAGTGCTCAGCAAAGCCAGAGCAGTCAACCGAGGGCAAACTCCTAATTCACGCAGAGAATAGTTTTCTGCACTTGGTAGGACCTTTATCACAAAACTTAAAAACTGCTTTGCTTTTTATATGTATTTTTTTAGTAGCGCTGATACATGGTTTCCTGCCAGTAGGTGAGCAGGGGTGGAAATTCATACTCCGTTGCCTGGATGCCTGCAGCAGTCGCCGTGGTGCCCCGCGGGATATCGCTGTGCCACTTGAACGGGGTAGGGGTCAGGAAGGGAAACGCAGTGAACGGAGCATCCCTTTTACCCTCAGATTGGATAGGTGGAACCTGTGTATGGTCCCTCGTTCACTGAAGGGAGGACACGGGCTGAGAAGGCTTACACTGCGGTGTGAGGAGCTGGAGCTACCTCCACACCTGGCTCCTGTACCAGAGGCTGGATCAGCAACCTGGTCTAGTGGAAGGTGTCCCTGCCCATGGCAGGAGGGTTGGAACTGGATGGGCTTTGAGGTCCCTTCCAACCCAAACCATTCTGTGATTCTATGGATGCAGGCGGTGGGCTCGAGCTCAGCCTGGCCGCAGGTTTCCTTGATGACGAAAGCGATGTTGCTGGAATCACAACTACTGCTGTTTGGAAACAGCCAGTAGCGATGGCTCAGCTAAACCAGTCGCACAGGAACGTGCTCTGATCTATCGCCGACGCGCAGCTCTGTGCCCACCCGCACCTAACGCGTTCCGTCGCGGGTGGTCAGGGTGCCTGCCCTCAGGCTGTGTACACCGCCGTGATCCAGCCTTCAAAACCTTCCTTGGGAAACTTTGCCTTGTATAAAACCTCCCAGCATAGACGGGATCCTGTCAAACATCTCCTCCCGTTTCACGCTGGTTTTGGCATTAAATTCCCTGTTGTGTGCCTTTATGTTTTTAGTTATCTATGGCCGGGGTCCGAGACAGCTGAAAAAGGTGATGGGTGGTGGCTTTGCCAGCCTGCGTGCCTGCGGCCCAACAGAAGCATCACGTAATGCTCCCGTGTGGAACAAGGCTTTCCTAGAGCTCAGTCCCAGGGCGCAAAGGGCGCTTCCCAGAGTTTAAATCCAACGCTCTCCGGCTCCGGTTCCGCCCGTCAGGTGCTTTCTCACGCATAAAAACACAGCAGCAAAGCAAATGTCTATGAAATGACCAAAACAATGCCTTCCACACAGTCCTCCCTCTGGGAGGAAGAGGGGAAGATGAAGAGGTGCATCCTGTTGTTCACTGCCCTACGGGAAAGTGGTTAATGGCTGGAAACGGCACTGAGGAGCAGGCTCAGAAAACCTGAACCGACTAGAAATGGACCTGCGTCTCATTACGTCCTGCAGACACCTTTGGGTGATAGATTCTAAGCGAAGCGTGTATCGGCAAGTATTGTAATGGAAGGGTTTGTCATCATCAAGTATTTTTTTAAAGATGCGATCTAGGTCTGCTTCAGGTGGTCACAAAAAACCAGGAGAAATACAAATACTTTCCTTTAAAAACATGCCCAGTCAATCCCCAAGATTTATGAACAGCAACAGAGCTGAGAAGTATCTGCGTTGCGCTGTGGTAAAATCCCGTGCGGTGTTTGCTCCGAATTCGACTGTTTGTAGGACTTGGCCACGTTCTGTTGCTTTCTGGGGATTTTACACCTCTGGACCTACTTACTTTTATTTCTGGCTAAACACAAGCAAAATGTGTAGTTAGAGTTCTGTGTTGTGACCAAATCTGCTTGGTCTCTGCCTGTTTTACAGAAGTACACGACACAGCAGTCCCAACCCCCTCTGCACGCTCTCTTAGGAGCTGCTTCCCTCCCAAAAGTTAATCAGGAAAATGTCTGTGTCGTGTGAGTCAAGTGCAGCAACAATGGCTTCAGGTCGGTGGCTGAAAAGCAACGTGGCAATGTGATGAGTAAGAAGGTGAGGAGAGCCTGCGATATCCTGGACAGTTTTCACCCCTCACTGTTGGGTTTATCCTGCAGCACCCAAGGGGTGGAGGTAAGGAACAACCTCCTTAGCGCCGGAGCCGTGCAGGGTGTTGGCAGGCCGCGGGTCCAGGCTGGGTGCTGGCGGTGCCAC